GATTAGAATGTCACCGTATCAAATTTTGAAAACTGTCTAAACATTGACTTGATCAGTACTTCGAGGCTTGTGGAGAAGTTATTCGTTGTATTGGCCGCAACAACAGAAGGCTTTGTGGAAATGAAACCGAAAGGCAAATAGCTGGTATGGATTTGATCCATCAAACTTGCAGTCAGAAACGCCCACACGTTTCTCCGTCTTTCCTCCGAAAACAGTAAGGCATTTTCCTGTACTGCGAGACATCCAAAATCTGAATTCGCGATGGTTCAGCATCTTGGGTGGATTGATTGATTTCCAGTCGGCTTCTCCTAAGCTTTCCAGCGATTCTAATGCGCGTAGGCTTACTGTCCCGTGTTTGTCCACTGTAAGGTAGCTCTCACTTGAGCATTTGCTCATGTAGTTCCTGAATCTACACAGAAAGAATTGTGTCATCCTAATGCTGTGTGTGTATGTTTGCAAATGTGCAAGGGATTGAGCTTGGCAACATATTCTATTTGGCGTATATATGACAGCACAAGATAGTGCATTACTAATGCAACTGAGGAACCAAACAACTGTTGGAATATTTGGATCCTAACTGTAATGTTTACTTCTCTCCTCGACTGCAAATCGACCTGGGCATTCAAATATATGTATCAAGTCCCTACTTTCCTACGTTAGAATTAGGAAGAGGCGTTCGTCCCTGAGTATAGGAAATAGACATACCCTTCATGTAGAGGATGAACCACTATAAATGTGTTTTTGTGTGTGCAATTCTGTTTGGTTCTTTGTTTGTTATTGCTTTCGGCAGTGGGATTAGAATTTAATCCACAACATAATCTATGAACATTCTGTGTTACCTATGGAAACTGTCAGCTGATCCAGAGGTAGATTCCCAGCCGTAATATTCATTATATTTTTCAGACTCGCCCCCTTTAATATTTGGCACCGAGTACACACCTTTGTCTTTCGAGCTCACATAGTCAGATTGTAAGGCACCAGCAATGAGAGTGTCGTCGAATGCTGTCATGTGGGGGTAAGCTTCACTCGGAGGACATTTATCCGAATCACATACCGAACATTGGCTGCATAGAAGGTCACTCTTCATATGTTTACCACCATTAACACTTGCTGATTGAGCAATTGCCAGAACCAGCAGAGCAAGAGAAAGGCGGTACCCATTCATGTTTCTTGTTTAGTTCTGAACTCGAGGAACGAAGTTATTATATGCTGTACTCTTTTCTTGATTTCATCAAATTTGTATTTATCAGAAGAAAGGAATCAATCTGCTGATTATGTGCAGCTGGCTGGCTATAGTTATGGTTGGCAATTTTGTATTTTACATGTATTGTCGAAATTAACAACATTGATATCTAATTGTTTATAGTATGTTTCCTATTAGGCCAAAAAAAAGAAAAAAAAAATTCAGATTTTTTCTGATATAAAAACGTCAATTTGTGCACCTCTAACTTTGTTATTATCGTTCAGCAGCAGGACTAGCTGATCTTGTCTTCATCAATCCATCCAAATCTTATGAGTTCGTTAAGGGCTAGTGTCTTGGCCTATCATCCTATTGGCGATTTGGATTCTACAGATTCATCTTTAATAATAGAATTCCTGATGTTCGATACTTCAGCTGTCCAATCGGCATTTTTCTTATTTTTTAGCACAATTCTCGGGAGATGTACAAACTTCAGCTTGTAATTTATAAACTTTGTGCAGTATGAGCCCATCGGTTCGTATAGTTCTGTAATATGCTGCTGGGATGATAGACGAAGCATCTTACAAATCCTTTTTTCATGAACTGTCCATTTCAATTTATTCACCTTTTGTGGGTTCGGTTAGGGTCTAAACTCTTGTTGCCCCAGACGACTCGAAAGGTCTTCCAGAACTATTCCTAGTTAATTTGTAATGTATTTTTCAGTTTCGCTCCCGCAAAATTTTGAATTTTTTTTTCATTAATAAATATTGACCCAATAACTTACACAGTTACACTTTAAAATTCAACAATACAAAAATCTTACACCTAAACAAAAGATCCAATAGTTAAATAAATAAATAGCCCAAATCCAATCCAAAAGCAAATGATCCATTATGAATCAATTACCCAAAAGCAAACCCATAGGCCACAGCCCTCAAAATGTAATCCCGACTACAGATACCCCTCATATTATGTTCATTGTTTTGCTCATCAACTCCAATTGACTCTTGTGACAACAGCTAGGCAAGTGATTCCAGTATATTAGTTTTTTGATTACTTAACTCTTACTATGAACTTTGTCACTTCTTCTAGTAAACGAAGTGACAAACTTCAAAGCTCTCAAGCAGCTAGAATTGCAGAAATGATTGCCAATGATGAGAATGATGAGTTTGAAACTAGAAGAGGAAAAAATCAGTCTGGAACTCTAAAACGTGTTGGAAGTACATGATGGAGCTCACACTTTGGTTCCATTTGTAGTTTGCTTGTTTTGTTTGATGACACTTGTTCCATTTTCGTTGATATCATCAATGATGGAATTACTTTAGCTAACATGAGTGAAGATGATGGTGTTTATGATGTAATGAAATCTTTTGAGCTCGTGTTTATTCTACATTTTA